TGGAGCACCTATGGTTTGGGGGCAATTAATTCCTTTCCAATCCAGCCACACAGCTATTCTGCTCTATTAAGTGGTAACTCCAATTTGTATTGCTGGCCTCAAATCTGCACTACAGATGCCACTTATACTAAGACTTGGAATGTTGGCTCTGTGCAATTTGTGAACTCTCAACCTGCCCCTCCATGCGGATACAGAGTACGCCATGTTTAGAGGCTGTTCCACTGCACTGACTCACCATGGCTCACCCTCCATCTCACGCACAGTAACTGCAGCAGTTCTGTGTCTTTTCCAGCCTTTGGCACCTGTGCACTTGGGTTGGGGAGACTGCCCAATAAAGTGGCCTAACTGTCTGTACTGCTTTTAAATCCATACATTTAATGGTGACTGTTGTCTTTCCAAGTGCTGGGAAATTAATTGCCAAAAGCTTAGTTAGTGCAAAATTTAAGTTACACAGTTATTATTTAAAAAAAAACTTACTGGAGATGCTAATGTTATGCTTTCCACAGCACCATTAACTTTAGCTACAGTGCATGCAAGTAATGCCTTTTATTTCTGGTTTTCTTGTTAAATATATTGCATAAGGTATTCAGTGTATGAAATAAACTTAGATATTTTCTTCACACTTTTCTGTTTTATCCTCCAAACCATACTTCATTAGCCAATGCATCCTCAATTAGATCTGTTATCTATTCCTTCTCTTGCTCCTGAATCATCCTTCCAGTGTCAAAGGATAATCTCTCTTGCTACTCTTTGGCTACCAAGGGAAACACATTTGGCCTTTGTTTATCTATGAATGACTAATAGGTACCAACTAGTCAGTCAGGATATCCCTATGTGCTCCCTTTCTATAGAAATCTCACAGAAGGGGAAAATTAAACAAAAGATCTTTTGGAAGTTCCTACCTCAAATGTTGCCGTGCATTTTCTGCTGTGGTGCAAAGCAGCACATGCGGCTTATGAAACCTGCATTGGCTCCACATTTTAGGCTATCTTTTATGATTTTATTTCTTGCCATTCGGATGTGATCATAGACTACTTTGGCTTCTAGGGCAACTCCAAATCATGCTTCAAGTTTCTCATCCCTTTGAGCATTCCCAGTAGAGAATATAGGCCAGATTCAGCCTTGATTTTAGTGGAGTTGCAAATTGTTACCCTGCATTGTGTGTCTTCCTCCGTGTCACAGTATTTCTGCAGAAATGTTATATGCTCAGCATCGCAGCACCCTTTAAACCAAAGAAACTGGGCTAGAACTAATTTAACTCTGTTGATTAACATTCAATTGGCATGAAGGTGAACAGCATTCTATTAATGGACCTTATTTTTTGAGGGAGGTTCTATCATGCTTGTGTGAGAGGGACATTGTGTGAAATTTTCTATTCTTAAGAGAGCTTCAGTTTTCAGATGAGAAGCTTTTAATAATATGGAGCCTGATCCAGCAGAGCCTTATGTGAGTAATCCTTACTCTGGGGAGTAGGCTTATTGGCTTGCATGAGCCTATTGGCCTTAGTAAGGATTAATAACATGAGTAAGACTTAAAGGATCGGGCCTATAACAGATAAAAATTAAAAGAACAGTCTTTTCACACCCATAAGACACTAGGACCACTCTATTAAAATTCAATTTCACCAGGAAAAAAAAAATCCTTCTGATGTAGTCCCTGGAATGTGACATTTCATGGGTGTAATAAGGTTACAAACAGATTATAAATTGAAACCCCATAAATCCTTATTGTACTGTACCAAAGCTTCTGCTTTGCATAATACTCTTATGCCAAAGCGTAAAGCTAAAAACTATTCATTTGTTCTCATAGTGGTGACCAAGGAATCAAAAACACCATGCAAAATCCAAAGGTAATTATTAGAGTGAAAGAACCTGAATCGTGAAGTTCACAAACTAATGAACGTTTTACATAGCAGTTGTCTGCAAGATCATTAACTCTATTTGTAGCATGTTTTTCAATGTGTGAGGCACACACATACATGTATATATTGCTAAATAATAATTAAATGCCCAATAAAAATGGATAGACAATTTATGTAATTCCGCCTGTCTCTCTCTATATCAGTGAGCTGCTCCCAGAGTGAGGTACAACTCACTCTGAGTAACAGTAACAGGGTCAGAATCTGACCCAAAGTGATGAAAGCCATCAATCTTATTGGCTAAGTGTTTTGTTGTGTTCTGCAACTGTGTATGTTTTATTATGTGGGCTTAGCACATTACATTCTCTTTACCCAGTTCATCCGTCTCCTCTTCTTCCTCCACCAATGCCCAGCTTCCATTCCAGTGTCTTTACACCTCTCCCTTTCCACCCCTTCCTCCAAGGGAGCTGAGAAGCTCATTCAAGAGTAAAATAAATGAAGCAGATTAGTACTTGACTTTGTCAGCCAGTTTCTTCGAGGCCTTCCCTGAAGATGAGGGATTTCAATGAGAACAAGGGGCTTTGCAGACTAGCTTAGAGAGGACATTCAATGCATTGAGATAACATGGATGTAAAGATGACTGTGGGAAGAGTGGAGAGGATGGGAAAGGAGTGATATGATAAGAGAGACGAGCACATAATTAGGGAGGAGCAGAGTTATGCAATGCCCTGAAGGCAATCACAAGACGCTTGATGTTGTGGAGAAGGAGGGAGCCAGTGGAGGAATTTTAAGAGGGGAATGACCGTCAAATCACTAGGAAGGTGGTTTTAGTGGCTGCATCTTGCATGGATTGCTGAGATGGGCTGAATTTTAGGGAGGCCAATGAGAATTGGTTACATTAATGAGGATGGGAGCTGACAAGGGCCTGGGTGAGAATCTTAGTTGTATGGCCGAAGAGGAAAAAGTCAGATTTTATAATTGCTATGTAGGCAAAACTAACAAGTTTTGCACACTGCCTGACTGTGTAGGTAAAATGATGCTGTTGTAGTTGAAACGAGAACAAAATTAACTGCTGGTCTCTATTGAAATCAGATGGAATTCAACTTGTGTAACATTCACCAGTTGTTAGTTTGCATCCTATGTAGCTTTATCCAGCTGATGCACCATTTTATTTACTGGAAGGCTTGGCCAATAGTTATGAGTATTGGCCAATGAGTTTTGTACAGTCACTTTTTTCTTTCTTTCGGGAAATAGGAGTGCACATAAACCTCTCTGTACTGTTCTGATTCAGTTTCAAAATACTGACCATCTGTACTTTTTTGGTACAGGCTCATGTAATATGAATGGACTACAGAGATATGCATTTGAAACATAAATGTTTAAAGATTAAATGTTGTACATTGTCCAGCACATCTGTTCTGTTCAGATGCTGTGTGCACCATCATAACTTTTAAGAAATGGTAATAAAGCTTAGAAAACAGAAAAAGAACAGTCATCTTTTATAGGAAACCCACATCTGTTTGCCATGGGGATACTGTATAATTGTGAACATAAGTGATTTTATATGGTTTTCTAATTGTTTTCAGGACTTTAAAAAAATTAGGATTATCTTTTTGTGCTCCAGTATGAACTACTGACTTTCTGTATGTCTGACTTTTCTGTGAGCTACTTATGGAGCAGATACTGATTTCATCTCTATACTAAGATCAAGTTTAAACTCTGGAAATAGTTTATATTCTTACCTTAATAGAAAGAATTGCATTTTCTGAGACAGAAGGCCACCTAGTGGTAAAGCTGGGAAATGATGACTGTTTCGGAAGCCTGCAAAAACAATTGAAGAACTGTAATGACAAATTTCAGAGTAGCAGCCGTGTTAGTCTGTATCCGCAAAAAGAAGAACAGGAGGACTTGTGGCACCTTAGAGACTAACAAATTTATTAGAGCATAAGCTTTCGTGGACTACAGCCCACTTCTTCGGATGCATATATGCATATAAGGTGCCACAAGTCCTCCTGTTCTTCTTGTAATGACAAAGTGTATGAAGGCTGGGATTTTCAAAGAAAGTCCAGTAGAGTTAGGCAACCAAATCCCATTGAAATTCATTCCTATTTGAAAATCCCAGTCTAGGGTGCTTTTTCTTAAAATCTGAGCAAAGAATTTGAACAATTAATCTTTTTCTAAATTCGATTTTTTTGTGGGTCCTGATTCAGCACTCCATCCAAGCACTTGATGAAAACTTAAGCATGTACTTAAATGTGTTACCTTGCTGAGTGGAACAGCACAAGTTACCTTTTGGAACAAGCAAAAGTCATAGAACCAAATTCTGCCTTTGGACACCTCACACATTTCCCACTGACCATAATGACAGCTGCACAAGTGTTTTGGAGGGCCATATTTAAGACTTAGCCTTTGAGGCAAGCTATTTAACGAGGGACGAACTATATTACAAAAAGGCAAAAGAAGTCTGGGTTGGCGTGAACTCCACTTCGATTAGGGTTTTTTGTTTTTTTTTAATCATTGCCGTGTGTAATATTTTCCAGGCATACATGAAATAAATACACCCACTTTTAAGAAAATGCTGGAAATATGGAGTGAGTCAGAATGGGTGGTTTGAAATTCAATTAATCAGTTAAATTGACTTTTTTATTTGGAGGACATATCCCCTGGAAAAAAAAATGTTGTATGAAAAACTTACATTAGCATGAAGTCAAATAGGGGCCTGATTTTGCAACCCTTACTTATGTAGAGTAGCATGTAAATGAGACTCCATTGGTGTGAGTAAGTATTACTCAACATGAGTAAGGTAAATTGAGTCCTGAGTAAAATTTCAATAAACTCATGATCAACTTAATATTTTTGTATGCCCTAGGCTTGTTGATGTCAGTGGAATGCCTCTCATTGACTGTAATGGGCTTTGGATGGGGCCTTGAATTTACTTAGATTGTAAACTCTTTGCAGCAGGGACTGTCTTTTTGTTCTATGTGTTTTTTTCTTCTGGGGTTCCTGGGCGCTATCATAATATGAATATTTTAATAAAAACAAGTCTTAAACGGGAGCAATAGAGAGTCATACAGCTTAAGGCCAGAAGGAACCACCAGATCACCCAGGAGTTAAACTGTAATATTGTTTTGTCCCTATGTAGCATATAAACAATGATCATATACATGGAGAGAAGAAGGAGTTTGTGTGCCGATGGCTGGATTGTTCCCGGGAGCAGAAGCCGTTCAAAGCCCAGTATATGTTGGTGGTACACATGAGGAGACACACAGGGGAAAAGCCACACAAATGCACTGTGAGTAAACAACACTGAGTTCCAGGCTATCCCATGGTGGATAGGATCACTTGAAGAGCACAAAGGGACTGATTCTCCACTGCCTTGCCTTTTGGATAGCTGTTTTAGACCTGTGCAGAATGTTTGTGCCAACAGCACCACATCAACTTGGTAACATCATCTCTCCACTTTGTACGGTACAAGATAGGGTAGAATTAAGCCCAGTTTATCCACTAAATCGTCTGATGAATCCCTAACCCCTAGCGCATTGTTAAATAATGCAGAGGCATTTCCATGTGTGTTTAAAATCACTTTCCCTCACTGAGGAGTATCTGGATCCTAGTCCTGACCCCAAAATATTAGTGACTGTGTAATGGATTTTAGTGTTGAAACAAACATGAACATATTGTTACTATGCAGGTTTTTTTCTCTTATAATAGCTGTTTTACATGGTGCTGGAAATACTTTATTGAGGAATTGTGCCATATTTAAATGAAAGAAAAGAAACCCTCCATCTCATAGGATTTGGAAAGCTTCTAGTCTTTAAGATATCTGGGGATTTTTTTATTGGTTTAATTTTTCTCCAAGTCCAAGTGTGTAGAATAATCCCGATGTGCATGTTGTCTCCAGTTTGAAGGTTGTACAAAGGCCTACTCCAGACTAGAAAACTTGAAAACCCACTTGAGATCTCACACTGGAGAGAAACCATATGTGTGTGAACATGAGGGCTGCAACAAAGCATTCTCTAATGCCTCCGATCGAGCCAAGCACCAAAACAGGACTCATTCCAATGAGGTAAGCAAGCACCCAGGCAGTGAAAGGGCCCTGGCTGCCCACAGACATACTGCTGTCAAAAGAATGTATTGTGGAATGCAGACACAAAAATCCTCAAGAAACATGAAATAGGTAAGTTAACGACAGTAAATCATTTAACAGCATGGTCATCTAAAGAGGCTCCTTGTCATTTTATCAAGAATCAAAGAAGGGAACTGGCTGGCTGATCTAATGGAGACTTTGTGTGGTAACCAGTGAAAGGGCTGCAATCCAGTAATAATTTTCTCGCTCCCCGAAGTGGAGGGGACACTCAGCTCCCAAGGAGAGTTTTAAGCCTCCTATTGTTGTTCTATAGTGACATCTGCTGGCTAGTCAGGAACAGCGTTAACTCTGTCAGGAGTTTATTTGGAGTCTGATCCTATACGTTGCCGAGCACCATCGACTACTCACAAAGTGAATGGGAGCTAAGTAGGGGTTTTGCATCTTGCTAGAGATGCAGCAGGATTGGGATTTAGCTTCTTCAGCTGCTATTGGTAAATGTGGAAGAATCTTGAGGGCGTGGCTTTCCAAACTTCTGAGTTCTTCTCCCTATCCCTCTCTCTTTCCCTTTCAACTAGATTCTTCCCTAAATCTCATTCTTCCCTTCTCCTCAGTCTGTTCCCCTCTAGGCCTTGTAGAGAAATTAGCATTCTGGCTGATTGCATGGCCTGGAACCTGTGGTTCCTCTTCTCCCACAATCTCCCTCCATTTCCAAACCAAGCTCATCTTTCTTTGGTGATTTCCCACCACATCCGTCACAGCAATTCACTAGGACTAGCATTCTCTTCAAATTTTGCAGTCGCTGTAGCATCTGTGGGTCACAGGTGACCCAGACAGCATTGCACAGCTCCATACTCAGCTTAAACCTGGATGCATGTGTTCTACAAACTTCTAGACTTGCTGATACATAATGGTGGATTTAATGGTAAATTATTACAAAGATCAGGGGTAGGAGATTTACCTAAATCTGTCCAATACCTGATCTAAGCTTTGGGTTGGTTCATACTTTGTTGGAATCAATTTGTCCCTCCCGTCATAGCAATATGAGGCACAAACAAGGTGTGTTTTTGATCTGGATGCTTTGCTCTGCTTTTTAAGCTCTAGGTTGAATGTTCAACAGTCAATCACTAAATTTAGTTATCATCATCGATGGAACATCACTTTCTTGCATTGCAACAACAAAATCGAGCAAACAAATAAACCCCAAATCTTACCAGAAATGTACTTCACAATGAAGTGCGCTGATGCTATAGAACCAGACCCTCAGCTGGTGTAAACTGATGTAGCTCTATTGACTTCACTGGATTTAAAGAAGAGCTGATAAATTGATGACCTCGAATAATAGTTATAGTTATGCTAGATCAGAATGATGATGGTCATCAAATCCCATGCTTAGGCATTTAAACTGATGGCTTGTAGGGGATGATGTATGAATTCCCCCCTCAATAATTGGTCCAGTGCATCATAGAAGGATTTTGCTTTCCTCTCTGGACCACCCAGAGGCAGGATGCAGAATTAGATAAACCAGTGATCTGATCCAATATGGTAAATCCCATGGAGTCGATCTTCAGCTGGAGTACATTGTTGTAGCTTCGTTGACTTCAATGGAGTTATGGCAGAGGTTCTCAAACTTTTGTGCTGGTGACCCCTTTCACATAGCAAGCCACTGAGTGCGACCCCCCTTCTACATTTAAAACATATTTAACACTATTATAAATGTTGGAGGAAAAGTGGGGTTTGGGATGGAGGCTTGCGACCCCCCATGTAATAACCTCGCGACCTCCTAAGGGGTCCCGACCCCCAATTTGAGAACCCCTGAGTTATGGCAATTTACTCCAGCTGAGGATCTGCCTGTGTTCTTACTTTGTTACATATGTAGCAATAATGTGCATTGTGCTCCCTTCAAAGCCAAGGAAGAGGAATAGATTTTATTAGGTGTGGTCAATGCTGAGACAGTTTCACAATGTCATCACTTTATTAATGCATTCACTGTGGAAGAGTATAATTGTTACACTTACTGCACTCAAAGGAACTCTTAGGAATCCTACAAGGAAACCAAATCTAACTTCAGCCTTTCTTCCCACCTGATCTGGCAGAAACCATATGTTTGCAAGATACCAGGCTGCACAAAGCGCTACACAGACCCCAGTTCTCTCCGGAAACATGTGAAGACTGTGCATGGCCCCGAGGCACATGTCACCAAGAAGCAGCGTGGAGATATTCATCCAAGGCCTCCACCACCAAGAGACCCAGGCAGCCATTCTCAATCCAGATCACCAGGCCAGCAGACTCAGGGTGCAATTGGCGAGCAAAAGGACCTCAGCAACACTACCTCAAAGCGGGAAGAATGCCTCCAAGTGAAAGCTGTCAAGTCAGAAAAACCAATGGTATGCAACATACTGTGCTGCTTTGTTTCTTCCTCTCTATTATCATTATTTGTTAATAAACTTCAGTGCACTAGTTTTTTTTACAAAAGCATATATATTTTAAATGCTTTTAAAAACAGTAACAAACAGCACTTTAAAGGCGCCTGATTTTCAGAAAATACTAAGTTCTGAAAATCTGACTCCTTTAACGTCTCTCAAGTTCAGCACCTTAAAACTGAGGCACCTAAAATCACTAGTTGCTCTTGAAAATGTAGGCCATAGTCTTTAATTATGTGATTGCATATTCTATCTGAAAGCATGAAACATTTTTTCTCTACAAACTTAGGTACACAGGTTTCAGGGTAGCAGCCGTGTTAGTCTGTATCCTCAAAAAGAACAGGAGTACTTGTGGCACCTTAGAGACTAACAAATTTATTAGATGCATCCGAAGAAGAGGGCTGTAGCCCACAAAAGATTATTCACTAAC